TTTTTATCCTAAATATTCTAATAAATATATATATATTTATATTATGTATTAAATATATTAAATATATACAAAAATAAAATATTTATTATTTACAAAAAAAAAGTATATTTTTTAGGGAATGTTTTCAAAAGATAAAATAAAATAAAATTAGAAAATAAAATGTATTTTGTATTATTTTTTAGTATTTTAAATAAAAGTATATATGTTTATTTATATGTACAAGTTTAAATAAAGCAAATAAATTCAAAATAAATGCAAAAATGGTTGAAAAAATATTTTTTTATATTTTTTATGTTTTGACAAAAAATAATAAGTCAGAAGAAAAAAAATAAAAGTCAAAAATAATTAAAAAAGCACACAATGGGCCAAGGGGGTGTAAGTGAAAAATGAGGGTGCAAATAGAAAAAACAGTTCAGGCCCAGCCCAAGGCAAGCTTCTTCAACCTCCAGCCATCCCTGTTCTCAAAAAAGCGCGTTTCTCATGCCTTGTTCAAACATCCTGATTCTTTGATTTTCAGCCAAAACTTATAACATCAAAAATGTAAAGCATCAAATCACGAATTCATACATATCAAGAACTTGATCTAACTCTCAGAAATGAGAGAGAATTTCTCCTCCCCCAATTCCTGACCTAACTTTTGTTCAATGTTCAGGTTCAAAATTCTCTCAGCACACACAACATAAATGAAAAGTGAGGATATGGGTAGCTTCAGGGCCATGAGTAGGACATAACTCCTTCACAAACCTAAGCCTACATATGCTTGGATAGAGAGATAGAGGTTCAAACTTTTACCTGTTCAGCTTGAATCGTGTACAACAATGGAGGTACTTTCAATGCAATGTGAGGACTTGTACAGCTTGCTTGAGGTCCAAGGATGCTCCTCCAATGCTTGGTGTGCCTTGAATCTTACTATATCAAGCTATAGAAGTCAACCTGCAAGAGAGAAAAGTGAAAATGGCACACTTGGTTAGAGGTGTTACAGTCTGTTTCCAAGGCTTGGGATAGTTTGTATGGATGGTAGGGAATGTGTTTGAACTGGTTTGGATGAAAACGCACGAGGGAAATGAACTGTGGAGGTCAATCTGCAATAGGGATTCTGTTTTGCAGAAAAAAAGTACTTTGATGGATGAGGAGGTATTGAGGGTCAAGGGCTCGTGTTCTAGGTCAGTTATGGAGTGTCAAATGTGTTCACAAGGTTTGCTTGAGTTGGTTCTTGCAGGAATGTGAGTTATTGTTCAAAATGCAAGTTTTCTTCCTTCTTAAGCAAAAGTTGTCAAGTTAGGTTACAAACTCATACATGCCCCTCAAACATGCTGCAAAGTTTGTTCTTGATCAGTGGGATATGTCCACACCTTTGTGCCTCAGAGATTTCCTTGTACTTCAAAGATATGGACTTTGACATAAAGTGGATCTTTTCAAAAATGGCTAAAATGCTTTTTTCATTTATGGCTTAATCTTGTATGTAATGGTTAAATACACAAAACAAGACATGAACACAAAGGATATGCATTAAATTATTGAGTGAGAATGGGATTAGAGGCCTGTAATCTAGCTTGTGCAAGCTGACTTGAAAAATGCAAAGTGTTATGAACATGAAATTGGCCATGCAAAGTGACTTTTGCCTAACTTCACAAATTCGATTCTCCCTAACCACAAGGGTGTTTGATGAGTTCTTGGACAATTTGGAAAGCTTGGAATGTGTACTACAATCCATCTTTGTAATGAAAATTGAAATTCCAAGTGGAAGCATGTGAAAAGTGGCCATGAAGTTGGGCAAAAATCCTGCCTAAAATAGGTCAAAATTTTTCTAAGTTAAGAATATTTTGCACCCCTATTCCAAAAATAATAACTTGAGCTACAAGCTTCTTTTGAGGAAACTTTGTGAATCAAAGTTGTAGATTTTGCAATGGAATATAACTTTCATGTTTTGAGTTTTGTTTGAATCCAAATACATCTTGATGAAAAAAAGGGACAAAGTTAGGAAAAAATTAGGAAATTTCATAACTTAGAAAATTTCTAAGTTATGAAATTTCTTCATTTCAAACCCTAACTTTGTAATTTTTGATTTCTTGATGAACAAATTTCATAGTTTGACATGTCTTGATGAAAAATGAATCTTGACACTTGATTTTGACCAAAAAGTCAAAGTTTGACTTTTCAGTATACAGTCAAATTTTGATCAGTTGACTGGAAAATTCATATGTCAATCTTGTGCTTTTGGGATCTTTTGAACTTTTTGAATATGTCAAGACCATGCAATTGAGTCCTTGAGTCCATATGTGAGCTTGGTTTGCCATTGGCTAGGTCAAACAGTCAAAAATTGCCTTTGTGCAGTCAAAACCCTAAAAATGACCATTTTGCCCTTTTGGTGATCTGATCAAATTTCTTGTGGAATTGTGATCCAAACTTGATCAAATGGTCCATATGAGTTCATAATGTTGATGTAGGTCAAAAATCATGAGGTTTGACTGTCAATTGGCCATAGTTGACTTTTTCCCCAATACAGCTGATTTCTAGGTCAACTGTCCAGTTGACTGGGCAAAGATTGGAATCAAGGCTTGAAACTTGGTATGGATAAACTTGTGAGTTCAACATGAAGCATGAAAGTCATTTTGGGCATTTTAGGTCAAAACATCTTTGTGCAAACTCAAACCCTAATTTGGGTCAACAGTGCAAGGAGGGGCCTTGAGCAGAGTAAACCCTAACTTGATCTTGAGCTCCAAGGGTCCTGTGGTGAGAAAATATTGATGAAATGGGAGGGCAAATTTTGGGATACAACATTGAGCATAAAACAAATACAATCAAATGGATAGAAGTAAGAAATGTCAGTCTTTTTGTTCTTCCACAATTCATAAGGAGTCTTACCTAAAATATGTCTTCTAGAGATTCTGTTTTGAATATAACATGTAGTATTTACTGCTTCTTCCCAGAAGTGCTTTGAAACATTTGTCTCATTGATCATAATTCTGACTATTTCTTGGAAAATTCTAATTTTTCTCTATACAACTCCATTTTACCGAGGAGTTCTTGGGAATGGGAAATCATGAGAGATGCCATTCTTTTCAAAAAGTTTTTCAAAATCATTATTTTCAAATTCACCACCATGATCACTTCTGACTTTAATAATTTTTAAACCTTTTTCATTTTCACTTGCAAATAGAAGGTAGGAAACACATAATGTGACTCATTCTCGTGTATTAAGAACTTAACCCATGTCCATCAGTTGTAGTCATCTACAATGACTAATCCATACATCTTGCCATTTACTGCAGTTGTTTAGACTAGGCTAAACAAATCAATATGCAAGAGTTCCAGAGGCTTAGAGGTGAAAACAACATTCTTAGCTTTAAAAGAAGTTTTAGAAAACTTACCTTTTTGGCATGCCTCACAAAGAGCATCTAAAGCAAACTTCATATCTGAAAAGCCTCTGACTAAGTTGAGCTTGTTGAGCTTAGAGATTCTTATCATGCTAACATGGCCCAACCGTCTATGCGAAATCCATTGTTCTTCGTTCACTGACATAAGGCCTTTTACATTTTGTTTTAACAAATGAGAAAGTTTTATTTTATAGATGTTGTTTTTCCTCTTACCACTGGAAAGTACAAAACCATCCTTTTGTCTCACAGCTTTATAAAACTTTTGATTGAATATAATGTCATAACCATTGTTACTTAATTAACTTATGGATAAAAGGTTATGCATCATACCTTCAAATAATAAAACATTTTTACTTGAGGGAAGAGAACCATTAGCGTTTGTTCTTGTACCAATGATCTCACTCTTTTGATTTCCTCCAAAACCTACAAAACCTCTAGGCTTAAGTTCCAAAACTTTAAAAACATATTCCTTCTTCCCTTAATGTGTCGAGAGCTCCCAGAGTTCAAGTACCATGACTGGTGTCTCAACTTTGCTATTAAGGATATCTGCAATATAAATTATTTTGTTCTTAGGTACCGACATCTTTTTGGGTCCTTCAGCAGTGTTGTTTCTTTTTGTTTTGTGTTGTTCAACTTTTTCACCCACAATTTTCTTTTCTATCATTGTGATACACTATAATTTTCACACCACTTCAAAATTCCTTGTCCTCTTTAAATAGATGATGAATAATACTGTTGGAGGGTGGAATTGGAAGATGATGAATAGTACCGTTGGAGGGTGAAATTGGAAATCAATTTCATAGCTGTTGGAGGGTGGATTATTTGATATAGAGCATTGTCTTGGTTATCTAGATGATTGTCTATCAAAGAAACACTTATTCATATTTCAACTTTGCTTCATAATCTGTTTAGAGTCCAAAGTCTCTTTGTCCAGATTTTAGAGTCTGTTTTCTTCATAGTGCAAAGTCTGCTTTATTTAGAGTCTAGTTTGTCTAGTGTCTGGTTATTACATAGTCTATTTTGTCTAGAGTCTGCTTTGTTCATAGTATGCTTTGTCTAGAGTTTGCTTTGTCTAGAGTCCAAAATTTACTTTCATTAACTTCAGGTTCTACACACTTAATGAAACAATTACTATACAAAATTATTTTTTATACTTTGTTATCATCAAAACTTAAAAATAATATATATAAAATCAAACTTATTCCAATACACCACATACATATTTTTTTATAGCCTTAAATATAAATGAGTTGTACTCTAGAATTCACCAAAACAAAATTGTTAAATCTACCTTTTAGGTGATCAACTTCTTACCGAAATAACCTTCATCGGCATACTACATACATATTTTATTTCTATAGCACGAATGATTATAAAATACCTTGTTATAATCAAATATTAATAAATTTTATAGTGTTATTCAATATATATATATACATATACTTTTTAAAAATGATGGATTCCAACATTTTGATTTTATCCATATTTCTACATCAAGTTTCCCGAAATAAACGAACACTCATTAGTTCATTTGTAGGAAACAAAATCTCCTCATCCCACAAAGAGAAATGATAATAATAATCACTTACACTCAATTTCACTTTTTGAATAATCTCAATTAACATGACACCGTTCCATTTCAACGTGTTCCCCTTATTCTTCATTTTATCCATCACCATTGTTAAACCCGATGCTGTTGAACCTTTTCATCTTCACGACGTTCCTTATCTCAACCGTAGCAATTTCCCGCCAGATTTCGTTTTCGGAACAGCCTCTTCTGCGTTTCAGGTAAATCAACCATCCTTCAATTTTGTTGCTATCACTCTCAATTCGCGTTATTCGAGATTCAATTTTGTGTCATTTGAGTTTATTTTTGTAGTATGAAGGTGCAGCATTTGAAGATGGAAAAGGACCTAGTAATTGGGATACTTTCGCTCATAAATACCCAGGTGCTCATATGAATATTCAATTATCATGTGTTAATTTTTTGTATTTTACCTAAATGGTGTTTAATATGATCCTGATTCGAATCGGCGCCTCTGCGTCTGATGTCCCTGCACGGCTATCAACTGAGCTGGTTTAACGGGACTAGTAGTAACTCTAATGTTGAAGTTATTGCTTGCTTTAGGTTTAAATTGAATCTCTTAGTTACTTGACAATGTGACATGTAAATGATTCCTCATGTTTATAATGAAATTGCGTGCAGAAAAAATTAAAGATGGAAGTACGGGAGATGTAGCCGATGACTCGTATAATCGGTACACGGTATAGTTGAAATTGTAGTTTCGTAAAGGTATATAAAAATATGTGATGTGTTTCAGATCATGATACTGATAGACTGCTCTTTGTGTATTTTAGGATGATATTAAAATCATTAAGCATATGAACATGGATGCTTATAGATTCTCAATTTCATGGTCTAGAGTGCTACCGAGTAAGTCATATTTTTGTTAATATTTGTTGTTTTAGATTGGTGATTTGTGGTAACTGTTATAAATTTCTTATCGACTATTTGCAGAAGGAAAGCTTAGTGGAGGTGTAAACCGTGAAGGGATAAATTACTACAACAACCTCATCGACGAACTATTGGCTAATGGTCAAGATTTGTAATTTTTAAAAAATTTATTTTAAGTTTCACATTGTATTAGAATCACGTCCATGAGATTGGTTATTAATCATAAATATTCGTTGGAGAATAATGCAGGTTTACAACCATATGTGACAATTTTCCATTGGGACGTTCCACAAGCCTTAGAGGATGAGTATGGAGGTTTTTTAAGCCGTCACATTGTGTGAGTGACACCATTTTCCATCTAGAGCTTTTTTTGTATGTCTATTTAGGGAAAGTTTGTCGTAAATCTAACTAATTGATTAACATATGTAATTCATGAGCTTGCAGAGATGATTTTAGGGACTATGCTGAACTTTGCTTTAAGGAATTTGGTGATAGGGTGAAACGTTGGATTACTTTGAATGAACCAAGAAGTGTGAGTAAGAATGGCTATGCAAACGGAAGATTTGCGCCAGGGCGATGTTCAGATTGGTTGAAAATGAATTGCACAGGAGGTGATTCAGGGACAGAACCTTACTTGACTTCGCACTACCAACTTCTTGCTCATGCTGCTGCTGCAAAACTATACAAGACCAAGTATCAGGTCCTTTTGTATTATTGAATTGTTTTAAAAATAGAAAAATATTTTTTTCAAATTCTGCGGTGAATCTTTAGGTCTTCAAATAACACGAAACTTGAACATCTTTAATAGAAGGGTCAAGCATTACAAAACCATGCACAATTGCTTTACGTTAATAGATCACACTTCTTTTTTTGTGTGAACTTATTGAAGCCGTTGCTCACTAAATAACATTTTTTTTAATATGCAGGAATCTCAAAAGGGTTTACTAGGGATTACCTTAAACTCTGATTGGTTTGTGCCTGCCTCTAAAGAGATATTAGATCGTGACGCGGCCCAACGAGCCCTCGACTTCATGTTTGGATGGTTAAGATTAAACTTGACTATTCCTAGCTCAAATGCAGCTATGTGCCATTTCTGCATAGTATTAGGAAATCAGAAGAGTATTTCTTTGATTCTATCTGCACTTTGCATTTTGCATCAGGCATATGGAGCCACTCACAAAAGGTCAGTATCCAAAAAGCATGCAATCCATGGTGGGAAACCGGCTACCAAAGTTCTCCGAAAAAGAATCAAAGCAACTTAAGGGGTCCTTTGATTTTCTAGGCCTAAACTATTACTCATCCTTTTATGCTGCTAATGCACCTCACCTACGCGGGGCTAAACCAGCCCAACAAACTGATGCTCTTGTTAATGTTACAAGTAATTATCAGTTAATTATATGCTTGCACTAGTTAATTCAGTTCTAAAAAATCACTAAACAGAATCAAAATAAAACTAATTATATCGAATCTTCTGAACTTTATTTTTGAATGACAGATCAGCATGATGGAAAGCTCCTTGGTCCAATGGTATGTATTTCATCATTGCATTGGAGCTAAATTACATATCATTTCTTTTCATTTGTTTGTTTTGTGCTTCTAAAGATCATGTCTAAAATATAAAGATAGCTTTATTTATGATTATTTGTAGGCTGCTTCCAGTTGGTTGTGCATTTATCCACGAGGGTTTCGAGAACTATTGCTTTACATAAAGAAGCAGTACAACAACCCTGTAATTTACATTACTGAAAATGGTAATACATCTATTGTACTTTCTATTTTCTAAGATATTATGTGTAGGTAGTGTAATATTGTTTTGAATATATGAATATTGCAATGTTGAATAAGCCAATGAAAATCTGATAAAATGAATTTATAGGTTATGATGAGTTCAACGATCCAACACTATCACTTGAAGAATCCCTTATAGATACTTACAGGATTGATTACTTTTATCGTCATCTTTATTATCTTCAAACCGCAATCAAGTAAGTAATGCTTTATCAGAATGGTCTCTCACCTCCTAGTTATTTATTTGTTTTGGGTTAATTCTTCTGCTTTTATTGACCTTTATGCATAGAAGGGATGGTGTGAATGTAAAGGGATATTTTGCATGGTCATTGTTGGATAACATGGAATGGGACTCTGGCTACACGGTGCGATTCGGTCTTGCATTTGTGGATTTTAAAAACGGCTTGAAAAGATATCCAAAACTCTCAGCGCATTGGTTCAAGAACTTCCTCAAAAAATCTTAGGACATAGTATATATTTTCAGAACAGTTCAAAGAAAAAGTTATCTGTTTTAATGATTTTTGGATTAGAAGAAAGTGATATAAAATTCACTCTTATATAGATCTTCTGTCAATAAAAGAGTTGTTAATAAAAGAATTCAGATTTAGTTAAGCACTTCTTAATTATCCTCTTTTACCATTTGTATTTATAATTTGAATTCTTTTTATGATATTTTGTAACTGCATAGTGCATATCTATTTTTCATAAACATTTTTAACATCAATGAGTTAAGTTATATAAGTTTTATACTTTAGAACCGCAGGATTTTAACTGATACTACTAATAACAGAACTGCCACTTTCCTTTATTAATCTAGTATTAATGTAGCAAGGCAAGTTATAAATCTTAAAAAATGTTTTATTTTATCTGTTTCATATAAAAATCATTTAATGCCAAATTAAACAGTAAATTGCAGTCATGTCCTTCCAAACATATTCTCATTTTACATACAATTTTTATTTTTATTTTTTACAACGAAACTAACCGAGAATAGAGAGGAAACTATATTATTTATAACAATTTTCTCTCTGAACTTGTAAGAGTGTAACAATCTGATCTTCTACATTATTAGTATTTTAAAATATCTATAGGATTCCAAAATGTTTATCAGGTTTGTCTCTTTACAACCCTGTGACAATCTTTCTGCATATACCAACAAAGAGATAAATTTAAATAACATTTTTTCAATTTTAGAAATCATTTAAAAAACTTTTTAATATAATTTATGCATCTTACATTCTTTATGTACCTAATTGGACAAGAATATTTACTCTTTTAAAAAACACAACATACTCCAAATTAGTGGCTATTAGCATACCACAATTTTCAACTCTCACACATGTCTTGTTTTTTTCTATGTACAAGTCATAGTTTTCCTATATATATCCCTTTCATTTATCTTGAAAAACAATCAACTTCCATATTCATTTTCTGCAAAAACTGTAGTAATTGAACAGAATCATAATTTCATCAGGGCATGGCATTCAATGGCTATCTAAATCTCTTCAACCTTGGTGTCTTGACGATTATTATTATTATTATAATGGCGGAAGCTGTTACTCCTACTACACTTGTCGACCAGACTTCTCTAAATCGGAGCAGTTTTCCGACAGGTTTCATTTTTGGTACTGCCTCCTCCTCCTATCAGGTATGTTTTCTAAAATCATCCAAAAGATAAACACGCTCGATCAATCAAAAATTTCGAAAAAAACTTAGGAATGAAGTGAGTACTAAAGACTGTGTATAGGTATTAATGTTGAACCTTGTGAATTGGAGGTTATTTATTTTGTAAGGTATGATTTTGTGGGTTTATAATGTAGTATGAAGGTGCTGCAAATGAAGGTGGTAGAGGACAAAGTATATGGGATAACTATACTCATAAATATCCAGGTATAATCCTTTATTTTTTTAAATTTTTTTGTACGAAGGTATATTTCTCTATTTCTTAGTACTTTCTTTCCTTAATTATCTCATGAAAAATGACAAACATTAAGAAATTAAATATAAAAAATGTTGTTTTAGAAGCATTATATTATATATGTTCAACTTCTTAAAAGTCTAAAAAATTTAATTTTTACAACACAACTTTTTAATATTTTAAAATGGTCTTTAGGGACATAAGATACATGTTAGCACAATTGTTATGTCAATTTGTTTAATAAGTCAATGAAAATAAAATGCACCTCATTTACATGTTCTCTTTTAGTTATTGATTAATAATTATTAACGAAGTTTTTTTTTATTAGTTTTCTTAAATACATTTTTGTAGTAGTTATTATTTCCTACCTCTTTTTAATTTATTTTAAAACTATAAAATTTTATTACTTTTAAAAAAACAATTTATTATGTTTTTATAGTACATTTAACTATATATTAATTTTCCCATTTCCCTTATTTATTTATCTACAATATATAGTTAGAAATAATTTTTTTATAAACAATAGTTAATATTATTTTGTACTTTGAAAACTAAAAATAAAATAAAATGCAATGATATTTAATGTAAAAACAAGGCACTTAAAATTGTTGCTATGGAATTTTTCTTAATGCAGTTGAAATTAACCGACTTTGTTAATTAAATATTATAATAGTATTTTAAAAGAATAAAATAATAAATACAGTTGCTTAAATGAAAGACAACTAAGGGAAAATATTATACCGAAATTATATATATATATATATATATATATATATATATATATATATATATATATATATATATATATATATATATATATATATATATATATATATATATATATATATATATATATATATATATATATATATATATATATATATATATATATATATATATATATATATATATATATATATATATATATATATATATATATAATTCACTTGAGTGATGTTTTAATCTCATCTATTTATTTTAAATTATACCAGTCCAGATTCATTCTCATATTCTCATATAATATTACCATTTCTTTTATTCGAGGAATTTCTCGAGATATCTTGTTTATACTAAAAATTGCGTTATATAACTATGAGTGGTGGATATCCAAAAAAAAAACAAGAAAAAAAGAGAGTGGGTGTGGTTACTGAAATGGAATGTGTCTGTCAGTGTGCATCTAGCAATATGTGAAAACCAAAAGGGTAAAAACCAAACAACAATAAATATTTTTCTAATCTGAACTAAAGACACATAATGTAACTCCTCTTTTTTTTTACTAAAATTGGACATGTTCTGTTATTTTTTGGTAACTAAACTGCACATGTTCTATTTGTCTCTTTGTGAAAGGGAAAACTCTTTCTTGAGATACACTATCCTTTTGCAATATCTATCTTAAACTGTTTTTCATTTCAGCTACTTATTTTATTAACTACTACTAATAAAAATATTTTAATAATAAAATTTATTTTATTAAAATTACCATAACTATTAATTTTCTAAAAAATTGTGCACAACTCAATTGGAAATAGTCTTTTTTATTTTATTTTTTATTATGTAGTAAATTGGTGTAATTGCATACAGAAAGAATATTGGATAGAAGCAATGGAGATGTAGCTGTTGATCAGTATCATCGTTATAAGGTACTGCTATATCCAATTGATTGACACAATTAATTGTTAAAATTTTGGGGTCATTTTTATAAATTTTAAAACTTCTAGGTCAAATTTAAAATTTCAAAAATAAGGATCAATTTGCAATTTTTAAAATTATGTTTGCAATTTTGTGTCTAGTATATGTGCTCACCAATTTTACATGTTAATAGGATGATGTTGCAATCATGAAGTATATGAACACTGATGCATACAGATTCTCAATCTCTTGGTCGAGGATATTGCCAAGTAATAGCAAATGTTGAATTTAGTCACATACTTCAAGAGTTTCTTACGGTTGAATCTTTCATTTACATTAACATCTCTAACAAATATGCAGAAGGAAAAGTAAGTGCAGGTATCAACCGAGAAGGAATCAAATATTACAACAACCTGATCAACGAGCTACTCGATAACGGTATTGCATAAACCAGACTACATTAGGAGGGAATACTATATTAGTATATATCATATTATTGATTGGTGGAGTTATGAATGCAGGTCTATTACCATTTGTAACCCTTTTCCATTGGGATCTTCCCCAAGCCTTACAAGACGAGTACGAAGGTTTCTTGAGCCCTAATATTATGTAAGTTTCGCCGAACAAGTTTCTATATGCATGATCCATGTTAGAGCATTATGACATCGTTTGATTTTTCATGTTTTCTTTGTTGTTGAATTTCTATATGCAGAAATGATTTTCGGGACTACGCAGAGGTATGCTTCAAGGAATTTGGAGACCGAGTGAAGCATTGGATTACTCTTAATGAGCCACACTCTTACAGTATGGGTACAGAGCCCTACATGGCCTCACACAACCAACTCCTTGCTCATGCAGCCGCTGTCAAAATTTATAGAACCAATTATCAGGTACAGATCCCTAAACCAAAATTTTGTTATGATTGTCCGAAAAATAATTTAACTTGAATTAGTCAGAGCAGGTTTCTGAGAAAGGTTCAATAGGCATCACGTTAAATTGTCACTGGTTTTTGCCGTTCTCAAATGACACATTAGATCATCAAGCTGCTCAACGCGCTCTTGATTTCATGTTTGGATGGTAATGACAATTTCCTATCAAGTTTTCTCTTAACCCTGCAACCATAATACTGTGCATTTGTTCATAATTGTCTGCAAAATCACGAATCACTAAATTTATATGTATGTTTATGTTATGTTTCGAGCTTCTTAATAGTTTTGTGTTGCAGGTTTATGCAGCCAATGACAACAGGAGAGTATCCACTAAGCATGGTGTCTTTTGTGGGAAATCGCTTACCGAAGTTCACTCAAGAACAATCCAAGATGCTTACCGGCTCATTTGACTTTATCGGAATCAATTACTACACCTCAAATTATGCGGCCAATATACCACATTCAAATAACGACACAAGCAAACCTACCTATTTCAAGGATACTCATGTCAATTTAACAAGTACGAATACCTTGTGATACTTTCCTTTGATTTTCTTCGATGAAAAGAAGATAATTCCTTTCTTTGTTGTAAAATGTTTCCTGCTATGGCTTATGACAGCTGAGCGAAATGGGATACCGATTGGACCACAGGTGAGTAAGACTCTATTTCAGTTATCCTTACATTAGAGAAATGAATACGTATGCACATGCGCTTGAACACGTATTGACATTTATACAATCTGATACTTCGTGTATATGATTTGTTTGTTTTACGAATAACTAAGAAGCAACATTTATGTCCAGGCTGCTTCACCTTGGCTATTTGTTTATCCAAGGGGAATTCTGGAACTACTGTTGTACACAAAGACAAAGTATAACAATCCTGTGATATACATAACAGAAAATGGTATGGACGAATTCAACGTTCCAACACTATCACTCGAAGAGGCGCTTATGGATACTTATAGAATTGATTACTTTTATCGTC